AAAAAAAAAAAAAACACATCTTAGTAAAACCAATACCTTCTCAGCTTCGCATCGAAGCTAAAAACATAGTAAAACCAATACCTTCTCAGCTTCGCATCGAAGCTAAAAATTATGATTCGTTGAAACAAATTTTTTGTTACCTCCGGTGTTATGAAAACTCAATTAATGACAATTTTTTATTTTAAATCAAAATCTTTAAAAAATTTTAAAACGTCAACGGTTGATTGAAAAAAAAAATTATAGGAACAAGTCATTGATAGTTTTTTTTTATCATATCATTAGGCTAAAAATATTGGTGTTCTCATTAAATAAAATTATATATTTCGGTTTTTAACCTCTGAAAAAATGTAGAAAATATTTACCAAAATTGAAAATAAGTGTCTTATTTAATGAATGTATTTTTTTTTTTAATCGATTGCTTCCCCTTTAGTATATGAGTTTTTAAAGCATTTAATTATATTCATTAAAAGTTAACTTAAAAAATTAGTTTTTGAGTATGTTTCAGAAATTCAGTATCAAATGAAAAGTATACTTATAAACATAGTAGGTATAAATAATGTAAAATAGATTTTACCTTCAATAAATATCAAACAGAAAATTATCAACATAAATAACATCAATTCCAAATTCTAGAATAAAATAGAATAATCTTTTAGAGTTCAATTGAGAACTTCAACTAATTGTATATAACTCACCTCCATTTTTCCCAAAGTATTTTGTTTCGAATAACTAACGACAATTTTTTAGATAAATTGGTGTATATATAAAATCACTGACATAATTTATTATTACTTTTATATTTTTATATATATATATATATATATTAAGTAAATAATAAAAGGTACCTCAAAAATGATAATTATTTTTATTCAGTCTATATCAGTTATACACTTAGAAAAAAATATATATAAATAAAATGTACAAAATTTTATGTCGATTTAACCCATGCCCTGCAAGTTATGAAGCATACTTTAATTATATAAATTATGTTTTTTTATAAAGTCTATACCAATATGTCATCTAATATATTATATAATAATACATTTAAGGACTATAATTTATAAATTAACCCATTATAATTAATATTTGTACAGTTATCTACTTTTTAATTTCTTTAATATTAATGATAAAAAATAAATATTCATCATAGTGGGGATGTGGTATAGTAGGGACAAATATAAATATCTGACAGTGATTAATATTGATTAAATTCTCTATCATAAAAAACGATTTGATGCAAATTCGTAAATATTGTTTAATTTTTAAAAGGATATATTGAATTATTCCAAAATTAACATTATCTTTTATTTTCTTATTTATATCCTGATTACAAGTTTTATGCTTTATAATTATAATATAGGAATAAATACACATTATAGTAATTAAATTTAGTAAAAAATGATTCTTTTAATATTAGCCACTTGATTTTTGTTTAAAATAAAAATAATAGAAAAAAAATTCTTTTTGGTATTTTTTTATATTTTTCAATTTATATTAACACATCAAAAAATATTAATTTTTAATTTAATTCATCCTTTGTACCTTATAAAGGTTTCAACTATATATTTATAACAAATGTAACATACATATTTAACTAACTAATAAAATGAAATCTAATTAGGAATAAATGCGATAACAATTTTTAATTTTTTTCATAAGTTTTTTACAATTTGAAATATATATTGGAGGAAAAACGCGACAAAGTAAAACGTAATGATAAAAATATGATAACTCAAATTTCTTATTCAATCTGGACAGCAAGAAATGGCTTCCGTTAAACTTTCAACATTGGGACATTGCCGGTTATCCAAGCAGCTTATCACAGACGGACAGTGCGTACCTATTCAAAAAAACGGTAGCACAGTGAGGTCGCGGTACAGTGAGGACGTAAAATAGTTGAGTCCAATATAGATGTTAGTAATTAAAATCACTATCATAAAAAACGCTTCGATGAAAATCTGTATATAGTGATTAATTTTTAAAAATTGATGTATTATTCAATAATGAAGAGCAGTTCTTAGATTTAAAAGTATAATTCATGAATAAATATTTATTATAGAAATTAAATAGAGTGTGAAATTATTACTTAATAATTTAGTATTGTAATTTTTATAGAGAAATTATAAAAAATTATAAAGTAGATAATACTTCTATAGCAAACCTGTAGAAAAGTTGAAGTGCTTGATGTAATACTTTTCAAAAAAAAAATTGTTTGTTGCTTATAAATAAATTTATTGGTCTACAAGGAATTTTCATCAAAGTCCAAAATATACATTTCTAAACAAATGTTTGCGACTATTTCATATATGTAATTAAAATTTTGCATATTGACTAAATAATAACAAAATCCTCTTAATTATTCTTCTTCTTCTTACTCGTCTTAATCCCAACTACTTGGGGTCGGCAATCTCATCTGTTTTCTCCGCGTACATACAAGATGAGGCATTTCGCTTAAGTTTTGTTCAGGACACCTCATAATATTTGACAAAAATTTTACGCCGGCTGTCGACCTGACGCAACCTCATTAGTCGCCTTTTGCAACTGCCAGAGGGGCCGTGGAAGTATTCTTATCCCCTATCCACAGGGTTTAATTAATATAACAAATATTTATGTGTTGATTATTATGTTACATATGGATAATCAATCAAAATATTATAATTAAAAAAATACGTAACATGCAGAATGTATTAATATAATTAAAATCAATAATAACTTAATAAAAAAACGGTAGCACAGTGGGGTCGTGGTATAGTTGGGTCCAGTATAGATGATATCTGACAGTGATTAAAATCACTATCATAAAAAACGCTTCGATGCAAATCTGTAGATAGTGTTTAATTTAAAAAAAAAATTTGTTAAAATAGCATATTTTTGAATATGGTAGCCATTTGCGCATAGAAGATAGGTCGTCGGGAAAAATTTTTTTTTTCATTTTATAGTACATAAAATAAGCTTTAATTTGATATATGTTTAAAGGACGCAATATTTCCGGAACATTTTCAAAAATTAAGTTGAAAAAGTTATTTTTTGTAAAAAAGTTACTATTTTAAATCCCCCCAGTGAGCAGAATAAGTGTTAGATTTTCAAAAAAATTATATCAAATGAAAGGGAAATATCTAACGTTTCAATTCAAAAAAATATTATTTTTATTTGTTCATTTTTGAAAAAGTTATGGAAGTTTTAAATACAAAAAACATCCCGATAAAAGGTAATTTTTATCGCAAACATTACATTTTTTTTTAATTTTCGACAGCCATTTACACATAGAAGACAAGATGTCGGGACAAATTTTTTTTTTTCATTTTATGTTACATAAAATAAGCTTTAATTTAATATATGTTTAAAGGATACAGTATTTCCGGAACATTTTCAAAAATTAAGTTGAAAAAGTTAATTTTTGTAAAAAAGTTGCTATTTTAAATCCCCCCCAATGAGCAGATTAAGTGATAGATTTTCAAAAAAATGATATCAAATAAAAGGTAGATATCTAAGGTTTTAGTATAAAAAAAAATTATGTTGATATGTTGATTTTTAAAAAAGTTATGGAAGTTTTAAAAAAAAAAAGTGAAAGAATTTCGAAAAATAGCGATTTTTAAATTTATAATTTTTTTGGATATTTCCCCCATTTGCGGGGAACGAGGGAATTTTTTTCAATTTTTAAGGGTAATGTCTTCAACTAGATACGATTTTTGATCTTTTGACGTATTTTTGAAAGAAATCGGTCCAGTGAGAGCTGAGAAAAAGTGGCAACAGACATAAAAAAAAAAAAAAAAACACACATCATAGTAAAATTAATACCTTCTCCGCTTCGCATCGAAGCTAAAATTTTAAACTTTGAATTTATAATAAAATAATTAATTTTTACAAAATTTTTATTTTATTTTCTTTATTATAATTTAAACTTAAAAAAATTAACTAAATTACAATTAGAATAAGAGCACGTTGCTGATGGTTCAGCAGTGAAACATACACTAATTTTACCTATTCCCACCAAACACGTTGCCGGTCATATAATAACAAAAAAAGAAGAAAAAAATACAATAGTATACAGGGTGTTCAGTAAGTCAGGAAACGGGTTTCTATTGTTCTCATTGTTTGTAACAATAGAAACCCGTTTCCTGACTTACTGAACACCCTGTATGTATAATGACGGGTTATAATAAATGTGTGTAAAAAACAATTAATAACGTGTAATTAAATTTGACAGTTTACGCAATGAAACATAAAAGGCTCTTATAAACAATGTGAAACCTTTTGGTTTTCAAGCCGTAAATGCCTTTCATAAAATTCTAAAAATATTTAGTAACACACTTATTAAAACAAATAATTTTGATAGACAATTCTATGAATTTTATTGCAGAACATAATTTTATATCTGATTGAAAAAAATTCTTTACATATTCAATTTGTGTACTATTGAATCGCTTTGAATGTCTGCTTAATTTTTCTATTGTAGTCCAAATGCAACATCCATAAAATCTTCTTTTCTGTCATTGTTTACCTGATTGTACTCAAATAAACTTTGAAAGTACAATATCATGTTTTCAAGAATAATGAAAGTATATGGACAAACAAAATCAAATAGAACAAGTGATATTTGTATTTTAAAATATAATGTATAAAAAAAAAATCATATAAATTTTATTATGACCACAGTGCCGTTCTCGAAGTTTTTTGGGGGGGAATTTATTCTCACAAAATATTAAAGGTATATTTGCAATTTTTTCTGGGAAAATTACAATAATGTATGTACTTGTAATTATAATTTTACATTATCTAATATCTGAGAATAAAATTTGAGAAATATTAACGACAAAATGCATTGAAGGAGCCAAAAATCAAAAAATTATTAATCATTCTTTGATTATTTAATCTATCCTTCCTAAATTTGTTTTGAACATGTTGTAAAAGTTTTTAATTGAGAAAATCTGGATTATTGTAATATGAAGTTGTACTGTATGGCTGTTCAAAGTAATGTCCTTCAGAACTTTAAGCTACCTATGATTCACATGTAGTATACAAATTCTACTTAGCTAAAAAATTTTTCCGATTAAATCAATAATATATAGAGTGTTCAGTAAGTAAGGAAACTGGTGTCTATTATTCTCATAGTTTGTAACAATTTACCTATTTTATTAATTAATGAACACTCTGTACATTACAGATACTCTGTTTTCTTTGAAAATCGGCCTCCAATATACTTCTCAGTAATATAAATTACTATATTAGATATATTCTAGCTTTTGATATCATATAAAATACTAACTTATATATTATTTAAAAAATCTAAAACTATACATATTTCAATTAATTGATTAAATTACATAATACCCCAGGAGACTATTACTAGTCATAAAACGTTGCATTTTTAAATCTACTTTTATGTACTAGATGACTACAACATTGTACATTTTCTTATAAAATATTATGAATCAAGTTATATATTTTACATAGAAATTGTATTGCTTATTTTTTAAAGATTTTCAAATTCTATAAAATTATTTCTGTTCCTTTTCACGTTAAGCTGATATATTATATATTTTATTGTGACTTTTTCATTTTTCCATCTGTACAAGGCAGTTAGACTATAAGACGGCTAGTTGTGCACCACACTAGAATGTCTTTTTGCTTTAAAGACTGATTACGATTGCTATAGGAGCGGGTGAGAGGGGTCACCCAGCTAACCCACATTTACAATAAATAACGCGTAGACAATGATTATAAAACAATACTACAATAAATATCTTAAAAGTTTTGCAATAAGTGACTTCAAATTAAGGACCATAGGGTGATGCCTTATTACTAATAGCCGACGAATCCACATGAAACAAAATAGTTAAAAATAATAAAATTAACAAATTATCAACATCAAAAACTCATAACTTAAGTGAATAATTAGTGTTCGATGATGGGGTAATTAGTATTGTACTGTATGAGAAAGTGAGTGTGGTAATGATGTCGCACGTCTGGGTATCAGCGTATAGACGCAGGGCACATAAACAAATAATAAAACTTATGGTGTACAATGGCCGAACAATTGACCAGCCAAGCGAAGGCTCTTTCTATAAAAGGATATCGCGTAAAAATAGACACTCACTGACGTACGACGATTAACTGTGTACGGCAGGCAATTGAGTGGTAGGCCGTCAATTTGCCATGCTGAGTAAAAAAGGGGGTGAGTAAAGCAAAGACGCTAGAGATCAACAGTCACAAAATATAATGTACTTAACGGTGTTTATGACAACATGTCCACTAGGTCTTTGTCAAAGATGCTCTCTACCAAATATAATCTGTAACCACTTCGGAGTTCAATTTTACTCGTTAAAAAATCACAAATCCATATCATGGTGATATCAAATTTAAAAAAATATTTCATCGTTTTTCATAAATGTAAGGAAAATCAATTATTGTTTCAATCGACAATTTTCGATTATTAGTTATCCTAAAACACACATAAAATTTCTATAAAACAATTGAGTGGAAAAATTTTAATATTTGTATAAATTACATGTAATATTAATGTTTAAAAGGACAATTTAATAAAGGAGAATCGTAAATTTTTTTCTATATCTCAACAGTATAAATACATAATTATTATTGCTAATAAAATAAGTAATAGTACGACCTTAATATTAGTGATCTTATTATATAATAGAACAAAGAAAAAACGCTTTTCTAGGAAAATTACTTAGCGTGCTCAGATTTTCAAATTTTTTTTTCAACGAAAGTACTTGGTCACGAGACTTCGGGAAAATTATTGGCGAAAGTCAAAAAATTTTTGACGCACGCTCGCTTAATGACAATTCTGAAATATTATACAAAAATCAATTCATTACGTTCATTTTTCACCATTTAACGTCCTCTTTTTTAAGCCCACACGCATGGTGTTTATATGGGCATTGACTTATTTCTGCGCATATGATTATTGTGACCCTTAATTTTTAAAATATGAATTTTTATGACGATTTAATTTTCTATTCAATTCATTGTTAATATATGTTATTATTGTCATATTTGAATTAGTTTATTAAATATCTTTTTGTTTTGATATTATGTTAGTTATTTTTATATTTTATGTTTGGTTTATTAGGTTACAGATACTTTCTGTCAATTTCTTTTAAATATGTTTATAATACAAATATGTTGATATATTTAATCATATTTATTGTTATATATATATATCTTTCGTTTGAACTTTTACTTTATAATTAGCTTATTGTTCATTTGTACTTTTTTGGCTTTGAACTTTTTTTTTAACACGCAGAATTTATATTAGGTTACTATTTTGTATATTTTATCAAGGAATATTATAAATAAATTTCAGGACGGTTATAAGTGTGTAAGTTTTTACATTCATTCTCAGAATAGAACAGTATTAAGAATTTTATTTATCTCATATATGATGTATAAGTTTATGAGATTATCGTAAAAATTGGGATCTATCTATGAAAACTATACTTTCAAATGTCAAATGACAGTAACCAATATTTTGATCAAAATTAAATTTTTTACATTGTCCCAGGTAATTTAACCTGCCGAATTGTTTTGTAATTATTCTATAATATTAATAAAATTAGAATATTAATAATTATTGTGTATACCAGGATCGTATTTAAAAGGGGGCATGGGCCAGCGCTATCAATATTGTTTTAGGCACCTTCTAAGAAATAAAAACATAATGACCTTTTTTTTTAACATCACTTTGACTTTTAGCAAAAAAAAATTCTATAGCATGTTTAGTAAAGTAAAAAAAAATGAATACCCTCCTAAAATAATTTCTGAATACATTCAAGGGGAATATCTCATTAACAAACGTCAACCTTACACCCAATAAATTTGACTATAATCTCTTTTTAAATTTTCTTGATTTAAATACTTAAATTTTTAATATATTTTTGTTAGACTGATTCTGATGTAATATTTTTCCTGCAAAACACTTATCACACGGCTACGCCGGGTACTCCTACCGGAATCAGTTGCCTATTTACGAGGATGGCCTAAAGAGGCTTACGCGACGAAGAGACGTGGGCTCGTAGAACACCAGGTCTGGAGTGAAGCCTCAGCTAAGCGAAGTCTAGTATAAATTATGTTAAAAATATTAACACAGAAATCTAAACAAAACATACTCATATTTTTAAAATTTTAAGTGTCTTACATAAGTATTGATTTAATCAGGTTTAAATGCACTAATATTCAAGAACAAAATTTAAAATTTTTTTTCGATTTTGCTATGTCAATTTTCTATAGTACAAGTTATAATCAACATCTTTTTTTGGAACGGAACCAAAATATATTTATTTTGGTTGCGTTTATATATACATGTATGTATTTTTTTTAAAATTCAATGGGATAAACCCTAAAAACCGTATTCTGATTACTAATAAAAATAAGTATAATTCCAGACCTTTTGACGAGTTGATCAATAATATTAGTTTATAAAAGATCACAGACTTAAAAAAAAAAAATTCTTTTTAAATTCTAATTGAAATTTGAAATAGATACATTTGAATGTAAAATTTTGATCAACGTTTTTGATTATTGGATTTTGTCAATTAAGGTAGTAATGATGTCAAAAATTAAAAAATAATTATTTTAAAATATTACAATAAAAATTATAAGATAAAAGTTATTAGTCTATTTTGATTACATACATATTATACAGTCAGTGGTGGAACTAGAATTTGTTTAGAGTAAAGAGGATTACAATCTTCTCGTCCCTGGTGGCACTACTTTATACAATATTTATTATTACACTATTTGTTATTATTAAAATTTATTATTATTAATTATTTTTTATATTAAACACATTCTTAATTTGTGTAAATTTATGTTCAGAAATAACTTACGATATATTCTAATAGTAATTCATAAATTGATAAACAGTAATTGGTATACATTTTTCAATAATAATAAGTTTATGAAGAAGTTGTAGGAATAGGTGTTGTAGATGAACCGACAGTTGATGGAGTTCTATACAAAAATCCATTGTCTGTAGAAGCTCCAATGCCGCTGTGTCCATTGTAATGAATAGGAGTAGATTCCGAAGGTCTTGGATTAGAATCAGACTGTATCACTTCTCCATCCGGTCTTCTTTGTAAATATTCTCTTTGTGGATCATTCCATCTATTAGTAGTATCTCTTAAAAATTAAATACAGATAGTTACACAGATATTAAAAAATAAATGCTATTCCATATATGTAACTATGAAATAAGAAAATTAAAATAAGGATATCATATAGTGCAATAATAGAGTGCTTTGATGTTTTGTTTTAAACTAAATTATTAAATTTTCGTCAAAAATACTTAATATTATATAGACATCCATTTGTTGAACGATACACGAATAGTCAATTTAACTATTAAATAACACACGGCTTATAATTTTCTTTAAAAAAAGGTTTACAATTGTTTTATAACGATTAATTTTTTTATGAATACATTTCTGTACTACGTTGTTTAGTTACATAAATTTAATGGTCCACTGAACTGATGAGACTCAGACATAATACATTTCTGTTAACCTTATAGGTTAGCGACCGGTGTTGGTTATTCAACCTTTATTTAAAGTTAGCTATTAGCGTATTCAAAACAATGACAGAAGAAAATGTTATTTGGAAAAATATAATAACCTTGCCAAGCATAACCAAAATTAAGTCAAGGGTAATAATGATAAAATATGCAGTAATGCACATATTATCGATTTAGGCATCTAGAAAGACATTATTGTTTTATTCGTATTTTTATTAAGGAATATATTAACGCAAGATACACAATTTTATATTTTAAATTTTATTATATTTCCATTTTAAAAACACTGATTATAATTACCTCGTGTTAGAATAATAATCCCAATTTGATGCATATCCTTTCCCATATCCTGATCCCATTTGTTGAGATGCATAAATATCATTTGTGTAAGGTCGATCGTAATCATTTCCAGGTCTATTGTTCATCATACTTTGAGGTCTACCATAATCATAAGAGCTGAATTTATCAACACTTGGTCTTTGAGATCCATAATCTGGTCTATTGTTTAGAAAGTTTTCATAATGAGGTCTTTCATCAACTATTGGCCGTTCATATCCTGGCCCAGTGGGTGCCATATTATAAGAGTTTTCACCCCAATGTTGAAAAGGTCTAGAAGGACTACTAGAATAATATGGTTTTTGAGAATTCCAGTCTGGTCTAACTTCAAATGTTAATGGACGTGAAGTACTCCAATCTGTAGGTCTTGTATTATAAGAAGGTCTATTATAATTTGAATTCAGATCATAGTTCTGACTAGGTCTTTCAACATTGTACATGGGTCTATTATTTATACTCGTATCGTAGTTTTGATTAAATTTATCTGTATTATATGTAGGTCTATTATTTATATGAACTTCATAGTTATGATGTGGTCCATCTGTTGTCGATGGCCTAGATCCATAATCATAAGGTCTATCAATATTTACCGGTTTTGAATTATACTCTGGTTTATTATTAAATTTTTGACCCCCATAGCCATAGTTATTACCTAATGATTGAATTCCGTAATCCACGTTACTATTCCTGTCGACATATTTGTAGCCGTGGTTCATTTTAATAACTTCGTATGATCCAGAACCACCCCACCCCAATAAAGGCTTTTTTGAATCTGAATTTTCGTAGCCGGTTCCTTTATTAAAATAATCATCATCTTTATTATGTGATTGGTAGTTAATAGAATTTATTGGTTTTCTATTTTCGTATTTATTAGGAGAGGTGCCTCCAATCCATCCAGCCACTACTCCTACTTTTTTACTATCTTCATCCCAGCCAATATCTTTAGGAGGTTGGCTATGCCAATAACCTGAGTTTTCTTTAACAGGATAACCTCCTTTTGTATCCCAGCGATCATTAGGGCCATATCCTCCTTGTGAAGACGCCCCTTGTTGTACAATGACTGGATATCCTACACCCTGATTATAGTTGTTTTTTTTATTTCCGTGTCTTCTTTCCCATTCAGGACTCAAATTGTCATAACCATTGCCTCGATAATCTGGATTTCTATTTAAAGTGTTTGTATTATAGTTATTTCCATAATTATTCATGTTATAGTTATTTCCATGACTATTTGTGCCATAGTCAGTACTAGTCATTCCTGTGTTGTAACCATTACCTTGATTAATTGAAGGAATATAACTGCTAATATGTCTGTCTGTGTTGTAACTATTATACCTATCCTCATGATGTGCATCAACTCTATTACCAACATTGTAACTACCATCCCGATTATCTGGGTTATAAATATTATTTCGATTGTCTGAGACAATATTACTAATGCGGTCATTTGGATTATACACATTAAATGGATTTGTTGTATACTGAGAACCAGGTAATGGATGTGGTCGATTAGAGCATCGACTACAAGGGTCTATTGGATGCTGACTATCCCAGCCATAAGATGATATTCCTCCACGTTTTGTCCATGTACCACTAGCTGTTGTTGTTGGGTAATTCATTCCCATACCATGGCCATCTACAGAGCATTCTGCTCCAGTTCTTCGAGAGATTAATTGTACTAGCAAAATGTACTTGACCACATAACATGGGTTCTATAAAATATCATTTAAAATCTTAATATTTTGTCATAATTTCACTAAATACTTTTATTTATGTAGATAATATAATTATATAATAATTATTATTCACAATATTTTTATTTAATAACTTAAATTATTAATTTCAGAACAAACAGCTATTAGTTTTATTATATTTGATAAACAATTAATAGTTTTTTAATTTCATTGGTATACCAAAGTTATTTTGATTTTAAGATTTAACTTAAAAGACTATCATAATAATTGTTATTTCACAATTATTTTGGAATAAAACTAAAATTATGAAATTTTTATCAAACCCGATAATTGAACAGTTTCATTATACATAATTGAGTAATATGAACATGTCACCAAAATATTTTCTTGTCAGTTCTCACGGAATAAAGAAACGAATAAATAAAAAATCTAACCGAATAAAAATGAAACAATGGGAGTAAGGTAATTATTCATATTACTCAATGAGCTACTTCACGTCGTTGAGCAAACTGTCCACATTATTATTCGAAGTAATCATTGATGCTCGAGTCATATTGTCCATACTCATGTATTAATGTGACAATGACTTAATACGGTTCAAGGATCACAACGAATATTTACTTTATTGTCCGTTTGTAAATATTAAGCAATTTCCTCTTCATATAAAATTTATTTGGAAATGGAAAGTAAGCCTTGAATGTCCTTTTTTATAATCTTAAATTAAAAGATTAGTTCATAATTTAATTAACAAGCGTGAGAACTATATCTATGATTTAACACTAAGATAAAATAATAAAATCTAATATTTATTTATGGTCTACTGAGTACTAACTTTTTTTGAAATCTTAGTTTAAAACAATCTCTATGATTATAATTATTGTTATTACTTGACATATTCTTAATATATAGGGTTTTCAGTATAGGTTTCTTTGATTCTAATTGTTTATAACAATTGTCCTGTTTCCTTACATAATAAATACTCTGTATAAAGATTATTTATTTGAGTTAAAAAGTTAACAATGAGACAAAACGTTAACTCAATTAAATTATGATAAGTAACTCGTTACTTTTTTAACCTGAATAATATGTTAACGTTAAATCCATTAAACAGTGTTTTTCTTTTTACTATTGTCACCTCCTTATTTAACTTTAATTTTTCTTCTCTCATAAGCGCAATTATGTATAAACATTTTGATAACACTTAATAGTTAATTAGGGACCTCAAAAGGATCGCCACAGCCTGGTTGTGAAACACTACATTAAAAATTTAAAATAAATTTTTTTTTAGTTTCTTTTAACTTAAATAATTTAAATGAGTTGACTTTCGACAAAACTTAATAGATTAAAAAACTGTGTTAAATTACCCAACATTGACTAATATTATCTAAAGATTAACAATTTTATAATAAAAGTAAAAGTTGAATAAAAAAAATGAATACTTCAATTATTGAAAAATGATTATTCAATAAATATTTTACATATACTTAACATATCCAAAACCCCTAAACCCCTTCCGTAAATTTATCATTCATATAGTTACTACTAACTCAATAATGGAATAAAAGTTTACAACAGGTGTTTTAATTATTACAACTTGTTATCTTTTTTTAATTATATTAAATTTTTTAATTAACATACAACGGACAGTATTAATTTTGAAATTTACAACTTATTACGAAAGAAAAAATAAAAGTACCTAATTTTCATAATTTAGAAAATACATAAATTATATTTTATTTTGTTTTTTTCCAAGTAAACACATTTTATAAACTTATAAACAGAAAATATATTGAAACCTATAATTTTTGGGTCATGTTTAATAATTCTAGAAGGAAACCAATGGTATGATAACCAAAACGAGTATTATTAAAGAATTATATTTATTTTAATAAAATAAAAATTGAACAATTTTACACAGTATTTAAATATTGCTATAAATTCTTCAACAAAAAGTGAAGAATATTAAATTACTCTCATTAATTATTATTTAATGTAGTAAAGAATATTTAAAAGTATTATAATATTTTTCGAAATACTATTATGTATATTTTTTCTTTTATGTGTCATTATTCAATATTGTGCCAGGAACAAGTCCCTGGCCAGAATTATTATTATGAAACAGGTATACAAAAATGAGATATTATGTATGATACAAACCATAAATAATAACCAAGTACAATACATACATCATTAATTGGATAAAGAAAATAAAACATAAAGTTTATGACTAAATTTAATCACGATAAAAAAAATAAAATTTAAGTAAATTTTCTTAATGACGCCCTTGATGTAAGGTTTAATTTTATGTGATAAAAACTGTTTCCTGTATTATTCTATTAGAAAACCACGGTCAGTGAAGAGATAACGAGGACGAGTCAAGTTTATAAAAACATAAAATAATTGCAATAAACAATCGAAATTTCAAGATATTCTTCTTTTTTATTTAACTGTCTGTTATTTTTAATTTTTAATTTATCGTAGTACTTAAAGAAAATATTTATAAATTATTGATTACGATACAATTAAATTTTCTAGCTTCAATATAAAAGTTCGTGTAATTATTTAGCATAGAACTTTATGTTTTTAACATTTGTTTTTCTATTAAATTAAATTATATAAATGCTCGAAGTCTGTTGCACTAATTTTACTGATAACTATTCTAAATTCCAATACACAACTTTATTTAAACGTATTCACCATTTATTAAAAATAAACCGTTTAAAAGGTCTCATTTCTTAAATAAATAGAACCTATAATACACAAAATCAAATTTTAGTAACTAATATATTTTTAAATTTTCTGATTTTAAATATATACCTAGGACATTTTATTATTCTAAAAAATAAACTAGGGTTGTTAAAACAAAATCTGTTTAAAACCTAAGTTAACAGTTTAAATTTCTTACAATTTCCTATAAGACTAATGTAAATTTTGAAATTTTTGGTTTTAAACACTTTTAAAATACCCATAAATAAACTAAGATTATCAGTATACCAAATAATTTAATTTTTGACGGCTATTAATTATTTATAAAAGCATATACTGAATATAAGTTTTGACATGTTAATATTTAACTGAAGTATACCTATTTCTCAATGTAATTTTCTCCGTTTCATGCTTATGTATGCTATGTATTATAACTAACATAACAACAATAATTAGGAATATATCTACAAATATAAATATTAATACATGAAGCATTTTAAACACTTACTCTTTTAAACCACCGGCCATACATGATGAATAATTGAAGACCAACGACGTACTAAGAGATTCGCATGAAAACCAATGTTTGTGCAAGCACTCTTCATAAGAAGACTTTGAACCAACGACGACCACGGCAATTTGTATGTGTACATTAAATGGTCAGGGCAAACATTCATACACATTGTAACGGTTCAGATGATACAGTGGCCTCGGCAGCATGATCATTTCTTTGCCGTTTCCTTCTACAATAATTCTGCATACCTACTGCCGGAAGATAATTAACGGCCTAGTCTCTATTTTTATTCATGTTACAGTATAGCCATAAAATGAGCGCATTGTGCATTTATTTTTCTCAATTCAACAGAAAATTAATTTATAACCCAACATAAGTATATTGCAAAACTTGCAGACGCATTAGGAAGTAGAAAAAATATTTTTCAAATATGCCGTAGTAAATATTTAAATGTCTTTATTATTTTAATAATACTCTGGTTTTGACTTTCTGCAAAACACTATGGGCCTAAAATAGCACGATTCCGTCCGCGGTAATGATAAAGAGATAACTTAAATGCAAATCAACAAGAGTCAAAACACGATTAAAAAGTATTAGTATGGAAAGTACTAATAATAAGAATCAACTGATGTTTTGATGAATTAGTATTTTTATTTTGGAAAATAATTTTTTATGTAATATATTATAGAAGTTATACAGAAAATTATTAATCATTTAACCCAAAGTTATCCAGGGTATCCTTGCAATGGAGCACCCTGGATAACTATAAACTTGTCACTATCAACACTATAAACCGCATAGAAGAATAAGGCCTTGTTGTTTTCAATTCAACTACCTGTTACTACTCGAATAAAAATTGCTTATGAAATAATTCACATATTTAAAATTAGTTTTACTATATTTGGAAATAAAAGTAGCGAGTGTATTTTTATTTTCTAATTATCACCACCATGAATTCCGTTTATATCCATTTACAGCAAATTTAAATCGATATTCCTTTTCTACAGAAAAAATTAAGTAAAAAAAACAGTAGCATGACCTGACGTGAACCTAAAAATATTATTAGTTTTATTTGTTATATAAAACAATGGTATCATTTGGGGGCCACGAGCATTTGTGCACTTAAAATTCTGTGTTAAGAATTGACCTCTAAGGTAAAGCTCAACTGACCTCAGTGTCTCAACATTCAAATAAGAGATAAAAAACTCCTCATCCAGTCCCGCACTACGTAGTAGTCTCTACAATATCTATACTTACAAAAAAAATGAAATGACGCCCCTGCCAGAAAACGTAAATAACACACAATAAAATTTGTGACATGAAATATTTGATTTCTTTATTAAACTTAATATAATTTTGTTTTATCTGTTACTCTTAAGTTGCAAATTTAATAACTGCCATAAGGCTTTATAACATCAATTCTATGCTTAACGGTTCAACTATTCACTAATTGCTAGAATAATTTAGTTTGAAACTTTAAGTGACCAAGAAAAGTTCCTTCGTTGCAGTCTAATGATCACCAAGAATTCAAAAGAATTGGAAATTAAATACTAATATAGCCTTCTTACAGTGTTAATTTACACAATTAATATAAAATTAATCATCAAATAATATATGAATACGTGCAGGACATTCTAGATCATAATTATAACACAACTCATTTGTCCCTCAAATAGAAATAAATAAATCGTGCCCATAGTTTAATAATAACAGTTTTTTTCAAATATTAATGGACAGAAAAATGAAAAATCATAATTTCTAAGTTATAATTACAATTTATAAGAAAATTATAACAAGGTAGGTTTCATTACTTTTAAACTCTATCATCTTGTTTTCAAAACCCAATTAAAAATTTTGCACTTTTATTTTTAACGTAATTGTAAAACATACAATTATTTTATCAATTCAGCTTGAATTTTATTTATTAAAAAAATAATTTCATTTTTTGCTGGCAAATAATTCTTTAATTATTGGTTAAATATTAAGTATCCTGTTTTTCCCAATCGTTTAACATTTTTGTCTTTCAATTAAACTTCAAAATATTTATGTAATCCCTATAGATTATTACATCATTTATTACTACTATCGTGCGCATAATCAATTTCCTAATAGTAAAAACAAAATACAATGAACTTAATACTCAATTTTATTATGAATAAAATTAAGTATTTTTAATATTAAATAATATATAACTCCTATATAAAAGTTACAAAACAGTCAAACAATGCATTTGACTCAGTTACCAATTTTTGAAGCAATAGCCATTATTTTGAAAAACTAATATACAATTACACAGACAATTTTTCTCTTATTTATATTATTCTCACGGACAACTTTATCTTATATCGACATCTTATATCAACAGTAGTAATTAGATGTTTTAGATAGACGTCGTAATGACATAGGCAATGTTTATTTAATGTATGCGAAAATGTTGTAAATTGTATCAAGTTCAACGTACGTTGACCGCGAAAGCCGTGATTTTTTAAATTGTACATTACTACAGCAGTTTTATAATACTATTCCTGCAATAGATTACACAGTAAAAAAAACAACATCGTTTAAATGTATCTTTTACTTAACGCATTGTAATTAAAACTATACTCAAACCTGCTCGAGTTTTGCATATATCAGTAGCGTATTTAGGGAAGCTAAGAGAGCTAATCCACCATAAACCATTTTTTAATTAAAATTATGGTGTAAAATCACAAGAAAAATATGCTGTAATATAAAACCAATTCAATTACTAGCCCCTTTTACTTATTGATAAATTCTGATAATATTATTGTCATCAGAAAACTATTACAGCACCTTCCAGATTGTATTTTAAGCATGTTGTTATTATTGCCCCTTCACTAACACTTATCATTTAAAAAATGATGTGCTATTATTTAATATAACATTTGTTCTTAAAGTTTAGGATCTAAATCCAAGTCGAAAATTATTCACTCCTAGAATTACTAATTTGTTTCTCCTGAGCAATAATAACTTAATAGTTACGTGGTATTGCAGTGGTTTGCAAAATGAAAATTTCATACCAAGACTTCATCTAGTAACTAGTTAACGCATACAATTATATGTTAACTCGTGACCTAAAATATTAATTATTAATACTTTAGGCCGAGATTGGTATTTTGCGACAAATATCAAAATCTAGTACCAAGAATTTATAAGGACTAATTTATGTCCAGTGACTCGTTGCGGCCATATTGTTGTCATATTAATGATGTAATTTAGTTTCCAACAAGCGGTTACGACTAGGCGACTAATGCACGACAACAATGCATCGTTACGTCCACAAGTGACATCATGGTGACATGATTATATGAACATATAATCCTAGTACACTAAACTCACTGATGTAAATATTTTAAATACATATAATTTCAATGCAACCACACCGATTTGATGTTTGTAGGACAATAGTTACGCCATGGTGGATGATTGACGGGACTTCAACACCATACAACAACATCGGTATTTTGTGACAAGTATTAAAATCTAATACCAATCATTATTAAGGACTAATTTATGCAATCAATTATGTCCAGGTGTCCACGAAGAAGTGTCGCAAGCGATTGTCAAATAGCTACCAAAGTTGTTCGAATAATATTGTTACTTGTCAATGATTCTCACAAGTTCCTGGTACTAACATTTTGTTTTTTTATCTAAAATTGATAACCTTCAAATTTGATAACCAATTAATAAGTTTTTAAAACATTTAATGTTTTTATGTTAAATTTTGCAGAAACCAGATGTGCAATGCACGGAGAGTTCTTACATCGGGGAGAGCCCACTAATTTTAAACTTCTGGTGAGGGAGAGGCACACAGGTGTCCAACTAAGTAATTGTGGCATTGGTTACAAAATCAAATAAATGTTAATAAGTTTACCAAAATTACTACTTGTAATCTTTTATTTACAAATTATGTTTTAAATGCATTTCAGCAACGATCACAGGTTGATGTCTTATATACAGACTTTAAAAAGGCGTTCGATTCAATAAACTATGAAGTATTGCTTGTAGTCCTTAAAAAAACAGGTTTTGGTGAACCCCTTTTAGGTTGGTTTCGCTCCTATCTTCTTAATAGATATCAATGGGTCAAAGTACATAGTATTAAATCTGACTTATTTTTGGCCTCATCGGGAGTTCCTCATGGGGCATCTGTCTCCCCTTTTATTCTCTCTTTTTATAAATGGAGTTAATCGTACTCTTCTCAATTGCAAGTCACTTTGTTTTGCGGATGACATGAAGCTTTTTGTGCTCACCTATTGCCGAATACATATTCCCTCACTTGCTGATTGTTGAAAGGCCCTAGGTACTAAATTCTTAAAAAATTTGCTTGATGGTAAAGTTGACTCTCCATCTCTTTTTGCGCTAATTAATTTTAAAGTTCCCTAAAGAAAATCTAGAAATCACGCTCCTTTGTTCATACCTATCTGTTCTTCTTATTATTTTTATTAGGGTGGTCCTTAATGTATAGATGTGGAATTTTTTTTTTCAAAATTTATTCGGGCTACCCCCGAAATTTGTTCAAAACTATAAAAAAATAATTTGTGTCAAATTTCATTAATTTTGATCAACCCTAACCCGTGCCTCAAGAGGTTTGAAAATTTAATCATGAAGGTAGTTTTTCAATAATTGTAGTTTATCTCAAAATTTATGATTCTTACATAAAAGTTTATAAGAAAAAAATCATAGATATGAATATTTTACATAAAAAAGTTATTACTAAAAAAAGTCATAAGTCAAATATTTACCTCGCAAAAGTTAAAATTTCAACCAAATATATGTTTAAGAGTAAAATTCTGAAATTTTCACAATTTTAATATATACGATGAAGCGTTTGCGTTATAAAAAAAATGCTTGAGTAAAAGTTGTTTTAAATTAAATATTTCATATTTTTTCTAAAAAAAAAAAACAGTTATGAATTTTTTAATTTATAAGTATAAGTTAAACTTAAATAATAAGTTTCGTTCTAAAATAATTGTAAAAAGACAACGAATCTTTTTAATCTTTTAAATAATTATAAATAATGCAATATAAAATTTACACATTATAAATGATTACAATATTTTACAATATCCAAATTCATGTATAAATTATAGTAATATAAATAAAAAATGAATAAATAATAAAAATAATTTATCCCATTAG